CTTAAATCACTCCTAAGTGAGGTGTAACAGCCCTAAAATCGTGAGAAGCAGTTTTGGAACTGTTCAAGAGTTTAAGGGGTGCAATCCCCTCTAAAATCTCTCCATAATGAGGTGTAACTGACCCCATTAAGTGGAGATACAGTTTTAAAACCGTATAGGTTCTGTTTGAACCAGTCAAACACAAAAAACACAGGTCTGACCCCCGCGTTTTGATGTTACAACGCATGTCCGACTCCAGCGTTTTATTACTGACACACGGGGAGGACCTCTGCGTTTTAGTGTTGACACACGGGGAAGACCTTCGCGTTTTGGTGTTGACACACGGGGAGGACCTCCGCGTTTTGTTCTGGGAGTTTGAAACGCGGCCACGAGCTATGCGTTTTGCATCTGGGATGCATAGGTGAGCTCCGCGTCTAAATTTGAAGAGACCGTCGATTTGTAGTCTCTTTTGCTAGAGCGTTACAAAGATCACACATCTTGTAATCTTCATCTTAGCTCCTTAAAAATATGAGGGTCATTAAATTGTAACTCCCGATGTTGATTGTAAAAGCTATTGATTAGAGCTTTCATCGGTTGTCGTGAAGGTCATCAGATTGTAACCTTCATCGATCTACGTGAAAATCTTTAAACCGTAACCTTCTGAAAGTCGTCAGATTATAACCTCCATCATCGGTGTTTGATGGGGGATCAGCTATATATTGTGATTTTTAGACAACCTACAGAAACTATTTATTTATGTATCATAACACGCTAGATTGACGATACTTGGAAATATTTAAAAGAGTTGTGCCTTTTATTTCATTCAAAGAACCACATACAGGTGAAAAGTTGCAAATTTATTAATGGAAGAATTTTTAAAATTAAAAATTTATTAAAAAAATATTTACTCTTTCACTAGATAATAATATGTGGTTGTTATTACCCAACTATTACTGAAACAACTTTACAACTTTTAAATATTCAATACTTTTTTAATACTTATCACATGGATGATTATTCTATAGATTTGATTTTCCAAATGTAAAAAAAAAATTAAGAAGTATTTTAGAACCATTCTTATTATTTTTGGTTTTTGGTATTCTTATTTATTCATGCTTGAAGGATGTTGGTCTCTAAAACATGATAATGGATGATAGGGGTGAGAGTGTTATTGCTCTTATCATTATAATACAATCAAATATTATTTTTAAAGACTATTTGAAGAGTATGCAACTAGATATGGTGGAAGATCTCAAGCTCCAACTCCTACGAGGTTTAGACCGGGTAAAGGTTGTAGTTCTTATTTAAGATATTTGATGGTAAATTAGCTAACCGGTAGAGATAGTGGTGGTGGCAGTGGTGAATCATCATCCACAAGAGAGATTTCTACACTTGATCAATTTTTATCTGCATCTTTAGTTACATGTCCAAAAAATAAGCCGAACTTTGATATTTTGCTATGGTAAAAAATATATGGAATGACTTCATATCTTGTGTTTTTCATCATGGTTTGTGATTTACTACCTCTATCATAGATTCAGAGCGCGCGTTCAATGTATCAGAACAATTGATTGATGACTACAGAACATCATTGGACTTGTCTACCATACATGCTATTATGTGCTTACAACATTAATGGAGATCCGAAGAGATGCCAAGGCATTGAAAGGGTAGTTCCTCTTAAAGAGATGACGATAGCAGAAAAAAACACCAATGCATCTAATGGGCTGCAACTCTTGAAGAGTTGACGATAGCAGAAAAAGAATAAGAAATTTATTTGTAAGTCTATAATAAATTATTTCGGAAAGAGTTGCAGATGAGATTGATATAGATGGACATGTGCCAACATATTTAGGATATGGCCATGCTATTGTTATGCGGCAATTTCTTTAAAAAATATAATAATATTTCTTAGTGACTAATAATAAAATAAAATTTATATCTCATTTATTTAATTTGTCTAAGACTTGCATATTGTATAATTCTTATCAATTAATAATTAGATTATTATTTAAAAAATAACATCTTTTTATTTTCTGATATTACATCTTTTTTGGAAAAAAATCTAAGTGATTTTTTTGCAAGGAACTTATTTTTTTGCCAAAAAAATAAAAGAAAAGGAAAAATATCCAGGCTGGCCTAGTGCCCAGCCTAGATATACCTAGACCTAGCATGAGGTACATTTAGGCTCTAGTCCGGGCAAAGGCTTTTGCCCGATCAGAACCCAGAGCGATGGGCTAGTCTGGCCTAGCCTAGCGCGTTTTGACATCCTAACTCACATTCAAGACAATTAACTTACTTTGTTAATGTTCAGATAGTTAGAATACAAGTCATGTATTTTTAATGTGCATTTTAAGCTTATTTATGGTTTTTTAGAAAACAAAATTGACTAGAAAGTGGTTTATTAGAACAAAAATCCACTTTAAAGATGGTTTACGTAAACATAAAAAATGTAAGGTGGTTCTTGTATAATAACCCAATTTTCAAGATGGTTTCTGAAGAAAAACTCTTATCAAGGTATACATTTCGTTGATGTTGTTTAGATAATATATGCTTCCCACCTGAAGGTCTACGAACATCTTGGCTTCAGTGGATGTGATAAAACCTTCGTATTTTGCTCCAAAAATCATATATTTCTTTTTAAATAACAAGCAACAACAGAACTTGTTTAAGTGTGGCTGAAAAATATTCGGGAAAAAGGCATATTACGTGCAATTTTATGAGGAACGTGAGTGAATCCATATAACTTAAATTCAATTTTGCTTGATAAAAAATTTCAATTATTTACTTAAACAGATTTTTTGTTAGTATTGCATAATTTTATAAGGCTTGCTTCAACTGTTAGAGAGGAGAAATTATTAGGTGCTCATGGAGCACTTAAGTGGCCACGCCCCTCCAATAGAAAGAGGACATGTATCATTAGAGGAGAGAATGTGATCTCATATTCACTCCTCCAGTACCACATAATACCCAAAAATTTATATCAAAACTATAAGGGATTAAAATTACACACGTTTTCTTAATTAAAACGTTTTCTTGAAGGAAACTTAAAGAATGTCAAAAACAAATAATGAACTACGATAATAAGAAGGGTTTCTTAATTAGTACCTTAAATCTTCAATAGTTTCATACTGGTCCCACAAACTTAGAAATTACATATTAGTCTCTAAAATTCTATATGGACTTGCAAAATTATCTATCTATCTAATTAACTCACGTTAGATTTAAAGAGAATATTTTGTCAAATCTAATGGTTAGAAGCAAAGTGATTATTTAACCCCTCCGCTAAGTCCAAAAATAATCAAAAGAGTCCCAACAAAATGCTAAGCTTCACAACCGTCATAATCCTCTAAGACTTGTATAATCTTCTTAATTTTTCTTTAACATATATAGGATTTGATGAACTGACATGCAATATCCAACATACGAGGGACTAATATGAAACAATTGAAGGTTTAAGAGACTAACTTCTAAATCCCCTAATAAGAGAATGCAAATACAAATTACGCGTATGCGTAGGTGTAAATCAAATAAAGCGAAACATATTTTAATTAGAAAACAGTCCATTCTCACGCTGACCTTAAAGTCCATACGGTCAACCTGCGGTGCCGCAGAGCCCGTCCCATCGGTCAACGCTGTCTGTCACCGCCTTTTCTCCTCTCGCGCCGTAGACAAATTGGAGATTTTCAAAAATTAACAAAATTGGAAAATCTAAAATCGTATTTTTTGAGAATCGGGAACTGATGCAGATCAAGATCCCCCTGACGCTGCCCGAATCTTAGTTATCCATTGCACTAACCATCCCTCTGCGTACATAATCATTATATTCTTCTTGTTGTGGCAGTAAATAAAATCAAATGTTGCCTTTATTTCTATTTATTTATTAATACGGTTTAATAATGAGTAATTATTGTTTTGGTTTTTTTTTCTTTAATATCCGCCGACCTCATTTCTGCCAAGTTCATCCTGCCGACTTTTTTCATCCTCCCGGGCTCCTAACGATACGACATCCTTCAAATTTCATGCATGTATGATAGGGAAATGAGCTTGGCAGTTTTTTCTATTTGGCTAAAAATTGTTCAAAACATTTAACCATTTTGTGATTTATCTATGAGCTTTGTGATATCTTCTCTCTGTCATGTACTGATTAATTATCAATAAATTATAAAAGATAACGAGGGTCAAATTAAAACTACTTACTTAAAAGAGCAACTTTTTTTTTTAAATCATCTCCATTATTTTTAGAAGTAATTTTCTTTATTCTTAGTGTAATGTATTAGAACCTAATGGAGGCTGGAATTAATTAATAGCTAACAATAGCTGACAGACTATGACAAATCCTATAAGTAATTTGTAATTACCAGTTCACAGTGGTGCGCATATTGTTTAGTTTTGTATCCTTTCTAAGAACCTTTATCCCCCCTAGACCAAACATAAACCGTCCCCCTTAGACCACTTGGGTCATGCATGAACCGTCCATTATGCCAAGGACTACAGCAGTAAAGGTATCGGATGAGTAATCGTTCCCTTAGGCCTATGAGGACGGTTTTAGTGTCTAGCGAGACGGTTATAAATCGTCCCCGTAGACCCATTATTTAGTAGTGTCTATGGCATCCATTTTTGTTACAACAAAAATACGCTTTATTAAATTTGCCTCCAATTTTTTATTTAAACAAAAGTTGCCAACGAGTTGAGAAGATAAAAGACGTACAAATTAGCCAAGTATGCTCAGTGGCCATTGCACATGAGTTGGTCCAAACCCATTGATTATCCTCTATATAAATACAACATGAGCACTTAATTAAGGTGAACTAAGATACGGCAACGGTGTACATGAGTACATCACGCTCCCCCAAAAAGGGCCAAAGCAAATCAAAAGTTTTTTTATACGTAATATATACACACCCCATAAAGAGTCATGACGTACTGAACGTTTTCGATGACGCAAACAAAATCCAGTATCCAGCAGGGACACAGCCCACACTCTCAAATCTTTTCCTTCCCTCAATCGCAAAAAATTTTCGAAAGTGAGAAACCCACGTTATTTATCCATTAATTACAGCCCCCAAAAATCTTTTATAAAATGAGACCGGGTCCATAATCGAAAGATTCGCTCAAGAAGACCACACCCTCACCAAATCTCTAGCGAATCCTTCAGATTTCAAGATCGAAATAATCCGGATCCGAATCGATCTCTCTTCCCTTCTCGGGTCTCGCGACCTGCTGTGATCTTTCACATCCCCTCACCGTCTATAAAAAAAAATCACCAGCCCCGATCGTTTTACTTCGTTACCTGCGGTGGGTGGTTGAGCTGAATGGATATGTCTTCGGTGAGAGGAGGAGGTAGCCTTACCGGCGGAGAACCGAACGGGGATGTGCACGTCTTGGCCGTGGATGATAGCTCGGTTGATCGCGCGGTGATCGTACACATCCTCCGTAGCTCTAAATATCGAGGTGCTTTTTTGCAAAAATGGAAACAAATGTGGTCTTTGTTTTTTAGTCTTCTGATTGAGTTCTGCAATATTTTTTTTTTTTTTTTTTTTTTTGGGTGGTCTTTGTTTTTTAGTCTTCTGATTGAGTTCTGCAATATTTTTTTTTTTTTTTTTTTTTTTTGCAGTGACGGCGGTGGATAGTGGGAAGAGAGCCTTAGAAATGCTGAGCACGGTGAGTTAATAAATTTCTTTTCTGAAATATTTTGTTTTGTTTGCTTCTCGGGTTGTATTTTTGGTAAATAATTTAATTTCGGAAAATATGCAGGAGCCGAATGTAAACATGATCATCACGGATTATTTTATGCCGGAGATGACCGGGTTCGAGCTGCTTAAGAAAATCAAGGTAAATAATAATTAATTAAAAAAAAAAAAAGTTGTAAGCAACGCATCGATTTTAAAGTGGGCTCGGTGTTAAGTGTATCTACGTTGTTGCCATTGTGGGCTTTTTTCTCTGCAGGGATCGTCGCTGCTGAAGCAAATCCCTGTTGTCGTCATGTCGTCTGAGAACATTCCCCACAATATCCACAGGTTTGATATTTGAGACAGCTTCCAAGGGCACAATTGCCAACAACATATCTTAATTTTTCTGCATACTCGTGTTTTTATTTCATTTTATTTTATTTTAAATGCTAGATGTTTGGAGGAAGGAGCAGAGGATTTCTTGCTTAAGCCGGTTCGACCGTCCGACGTGTCGCAGTTGTGTAGCCGCGTGCTACGATGAGGACCGTCCAATGTGTCTGCGGTTGTGTAGTCGCGGTGCGATGAGAACCGTCCGGTCTTCACTTTGTTTAAAGAGGAAAAAAAAAAAAGAAAGAAAATAGTTTGAACTTTTTGTATCCCGACAATTTTGTCCTTGGAAAAAAGTAGATTAATTATATAGGCTTGGTGAAAAGTAGATTAATTATAGTAGGTTCGATTTATGTTTTAGTCAATTGTTTGATCACGAGCCCTCAACGGATGGAATAGCGATGAGATTCGTCTTCTATTCCTACCAAAAGAAAAAGGTAATTAAGGGGCTGATAAGGGGTGGAAAACTCAGAAAACCCCTCCACGTCAGATTTTTAGCCCTCCACGTCAGTTTTTTTGTTTCCGTCCATTTCTTTGTGTCGCTTTGGTTCGCTCAGATGGAAGAGGGAAAACTCTGCTGAAATCGCCGTCAACTCAGATTTTTTTTCCTCTCCGATTTCCTTCCCCAATCGAGTGAAATTGATGAAAACTCTGCCACGTCAGATTTTTTTCCTTCTCTGCTTTGTTTACAAAAGTTTTCCTTTTTTTTTATGCGAACCAAACACAAGAAAAATAAATACATTGGTTTCTTACTATTTTTTATGTGCGAACCAAAGCAAAACAATCTATTTCTTGGAAAAGTTTAAAAAACTCAAAACCTGTATTTCTTTACATGGAATTGCATTTCTCTATATCAAGGAAACGAACCAAACAGCCCCTAAGTCAAAAGGTAAAGAATTATGAAAAATATTAAAAGGTAGAAAGGGCAAAAGTGTAGAAACGGTTAACACGAGTGTCATAATGACGGTCGACAGCTGAGAGTGAGTAGGTCTTCTGTCCAACTTAACCAAATCTAGGATTGATGGTCTTAGATTTGGAGGGGACCGGATAGGATAGTTACTTATTTGTCTTTTCCTCTTTTCTTGAACGAACCCTTTCTGCCTTTGGGTGAGAAAATAAATAAATATATAGAATAGGTGTATAAAGAAAAAAAAAATATAGGTTAAGCCTAGAAGGGTCGGTTGTCTCCGTGAGGATTAAACTACAAGTTAATCGTAGTTGTTTACTATACTCGATCTAAAAGGGCATTAAAATTTAGTACATTCACCCACACAACGTTAAAACTTAGAAAACTAAGATCATGCAAGTTGGGCTCAAGTGGCGTCGTTCGCAGCCAATGAGCAAAATCTCGGGCGTTGTGTAGAAGGATAAAGACTTATATTTCATTAGTTTAGTACGTAGCATCAAATTCAAATCTATCGTACCTAATAACCATACGCTTAGCTAGGGATCGTCGTTCATTGGTTCCCTCAAAATATGAAATAAATTAAATTAAATTAAAATTCAGGAAAATACGAAGATAAATTTAGGATGCACAACTACAAGATTGATAACATACGCATCTTTACTCTTACTACAATAACGAGCTGCCATCGTCATGAAATAGAGTACAGCTTTGTTTAAAGAACTGTTCACAACACCATCGAACACTACGAGTTGAATTCTATATATTATGGGCTAGTTTTGTATCCTCGCACTAATCCTCAAGCCCAGCCCATTCAATGTTAACAAGGCCGAAGCAGAGAGTAATTGTGTCTATTACATCTATTAAAGAAAGCACGTGGTTCGGTCCATTTTTTTGATGGCATACCCTTAACTTGGTGATCATAATTCAGAAAATTCCACAAAAATTCTACAAATTGTAACTTTTTTAATTACGGTTTTTCTATAGAGTGCCCATGGACACTCTATAAGAGAGGAGAGAAATAGAGAGAAATAAATTATGCACAGAAATTAATGCAAATCAGGGGGGCCCATGTGTTATTCATTTCTCTCTATCTCTCTCCTCTCTTATAGAGTACTCATGGGCACTCTATAGAAAAACCGTTTTAATTATTAGGCAAGGGACAAACTTGGAATAGTCTTTTCGGTTTCTGGCTCATGCCGACATCGGCATACAAAAGCTTCACTCCTCCTTCGACATTCGTTACTTGAAATCTTCCTTCTGTTTTTCTTTTGATGGGAATTTTATTAGGCATCAATGCTTTTTGAAGAGTTGTTCACAGTTTTTGTGCTCGACGTTTTCCCCCACGATAGCTTGGTTTTAATGCCTCTCCGCTCTGAGTTCTTCACTTATTTAGATCAATTTTTTATTTATTTTGAGAGCTTTAACATACATTAAAAAAAATATTGATTATGGGGCATGGGGAACTGTAGAAAGGGTACCAGGCTTATATAACAATATGCGTGTCCGTGGTTAATTTGAAATTCATCTCCAGCTAACCCACTACCCCTTTTAACTTAAAGTTTAATTTGTATTGTTTCATGCATGCATCGCATGCAAATGGATGCAATGGAGTATAATAAAGAGAGAAAAGGTGTGACGCACGATTACCGGGTTGATAATTACCAAAGCCTCAATCTTATAGTAGGCTCTGCTTTTGCTAGTAATTTCACAATTGTTAAAAGTAAAAAAAAATGTATCCTTTTGTCGTATATCTGTATTTGTTTTAGTTTTTTGAATTATGATTTTATTAGTTTTATTCTTAATTAATTTCATGTCATCTTTTATGAGTATTTCATGAGTCCTTTTGGTTGCTCAATAGTAATAGTTTAAAATAAATAAGTCCTACACTATATATTAAAGATAATTCGTAAGCAAGTAAAGAGTTCTTGTGAATGATATACATAAAGGTTTTAAATCTTTTAGATGTAAATTGTAACACTTAATAAACTTAAAGTACATTATTTATTTCATTAGTTTTAAGGATTTGAAACATATCAAATATCACTAATCTAAATGTGTTTGTTTGGAAAATAAAAAAGAAGAATATTATTTATACTAAGTGAGTCGGCAAAAAATATATCTTTATAATTAGATAACAATTAAGCTTTTTAGGCTTAGGAGGCTATAAACATATTCATATTTTCATACTAACATTTGTAAGAAATTTGGTAATTGAAATCTAATCAATAAAATATATTTTATAATTAAATGGTTTATGATTTTTTATTACTATGTTTAATATATTAAAAGCATTTTAATACTTTATGTGAGTTCTCTTTTTTGTAATCTTTATTTTGAAAGAGGATTTAAAGCTTTGAAATGAGAAAGACCTTAAAATGACATGTATTTGATAAATTAAACTAGCGAACTACCCCTCATCTTTTTCCTAAGAATGGATGAATGTGTTTCTAAATTTTTGTTACTATCTCTTGTTGGTTCATTATGTAGTAGAATTGATATTTAAACCGCTGTCGCTGCATTGAAATTATGTAGCTGTCGCGAGGATTGAGGACTCTAATTATATAGGAAATGATTTATATATAGTGGCGACTCATTTTGCTAAATGAGTTACCAATATATAATAATGTGATGGAATCCACTTTGCTAGGTTTTGTCGCGGTTGTAAGAATAGAACACGTTATATTTCAAAATTATGCTATCGGTCCTACATGCGCAATGTCAAGTTTGTCCTTCAGAAGTCTACATCATAAAATAATTTTTAAATTCTTCAAACTATATCAAACATGATCCTTTATTGAAAATGTTAATTCTTTTAACATGTAATAAACCAACTGTGAACGCGTGAGGTGGTAAGGTGGGCCGCACACCGCACCCACCTGCGTCTTAGCCGTTCATCCGAGAATTGATTTCTCATCCTATAAATACCTGATGATTATTAGGGTTTTAGTTGATGTGTGGGAAAAAGCTGCGGTGAAAGAAATAAAAGAGAAAGGGAGCAGCGGCTTGGTGAAAAGCTGCTGGGAAAATCGCAGAACAGAGGATTTGTTTTCTTTTGGCGGCTGAGCAGAGAGAGAAAAAGAGAGATCTTGAGGAGAGAGAAAATAGGGTTTTACAAAAGAGAGGTTTATTTCTTTTGGGTAAAAATCAGATCTTTGAGACGAGCTTGTGGATTGTACAAGTCGTCGGTGTTCTCCTTATAGTGGAATCTCCCCTCATCCCCTCCCGTGGACGTAGGCAAGTTTGCCGAACCACGTAAATCTCGTGTATTTATTGTTTTCTGGGTGTTGGCTATTGCTTGTAGGTTCCCTCAATATTCGGTCTTAGAGCTGATGAGAGGAAGAGTGTATATTTCACTTTGATGAAATATATCACTTTCGATTCTTGTTTCCTTTGAGAAATAAGAATTTCACTATCTATTCTCGTTTCCTTTGAGAAACAAGAATATAGAGGTTGGCTTGTGCTTTTGGGACAACAAAAGCCAGTGCTCTCTCTCAGGTGATATCGCTTCCGCGGCGGTGGGCGTGACTCTGCGCCCAACACCAACAGTTGCTAGTTTTTGCTGTCATGTTCTTAGATGGCCGCTCCTTCTCCGTCGCGTCTCCCAGTGTGCTCCTGCTGAGGATATATAGCTCAGATAGAATCAATTAGCGGACGGTTAGTCGAGCTCGTGTTTGGCGCGGTTGGATCGGAGCACAGCTAGAGCACCACGTTGCGTCGACTGCATTAAAATTGATCAGGCACATTAAATCGATCGAACCGACCAAATTTCGACGATCTGCATCCAATTTAGAACGTGTGTCAATCATTTGGATTTGAGAAAATTTCAACTGAACTAATCAAGCCGGCCGCTTTCTTAATTATCGAAAATATATCTTTCCTTCCCCCCCCCCCCTTAGTCCACCCAGTACCCCATCTCCTTTTTTCCCTTAATTAACTTATTATTATTATAATTAATTTGCTTGCTCTTTTGTTGATCCCTTAATACATATTAAAAACTTTTTATTATTATAATTAATTTGCTTGCTCTTTTGTTGATCCCTTAATACATATTTTTCTTACACCAATTTTTTCTTAACATGGGTTTTTCTTTTGGATCAAAATAGCCTTTTTTCTTAAATTAAATAAGTCCCATCTAAAACTGAATAAGTCGAGCGGAATTAATTTCGTTTTGTTGGTTTGGTTTTGAATATAAAATTTTTCATTTCGGCTTTGTCAAGATTACGAAAAATTAACCAGTTGTTTAGTCACCTCTCATATCCCAATTTGAAAAGTAAGCTCATCAAATCAACTACTTTACAAAATAAAATCAAACATTATTTTTTTTAGTACAGACATTAACTATTTAAGATATATAAAAGAGTTTGATGGTCGTGAGGTGTCAACTCATTTAGCAAAACTAGTATCGTGTACGTGCGTTGAACGTAGGCACATTTGTTGATCAAT